GAAAACAATGTTATAAAGTATTAGTGAGATATTATCAACTTAGTAAAGAGAAGGATGATCATTTGATAATTAATTTTCCACAGTATAGTGGATAATTTAGGGGCTTTATTGAATCTAAAGCAACAACAAAATTATTTTTTTATTTGAGGCTCACAGAAATGCCAAAGATGTTGTATGCAAATGTAGTTTCCTTGTACTGTTTTGCATTCATATGATATGAAAAAAATGCATTTTACATTTGAAATAGTCTTGAATAGAAGTATTGGACATGTAGTCAGAAATGACCCCATTGGCTTTCTGTGGTTATTGGGTTATAGACATTCTTTACCATAGGATATTAAATAGTTCTCTTTAGAGTTTTCACACACATTTAATGTGTTTATATGCACATGAAAATAGGGATTGGGCGATTTCTTTACCGTGATTCATCTTCGTATATTTTGTCTAACTAATTTTATCTGTTAAGTTGAAAATCATGTTGTTGGTGCTCTAGTGCTTTAAATAAATTTCACTAGACCTATTTCTTTAATATATCTATATTTTTTGATGTTGTGATATACTAGAAAGCTGTGTGTATAAGGTTTTGGAGGCTTTGAAAAATCACCCATTATTAAAATATCTTGTGGTTTTTTCCTGTCAGAGATTGACTCAGGATAATACCCATAATTATTATAAACCCTTTGTTTTCCCTCTTCTTCAATTATTGTTTTCCTTAAAAATGAAGTCTTTGAACAAATGTGAAGAATTCTATATTTATATCTCCAGCATCCCAAATTTTATTTTAAAATATTTGAACCCTATAGGGGAGTTTATTGTTGTTGCTAGTGGCATTGAGTCACTTCCGACTCAATGTGCGGAGTAGAGCTGCTCCACAGGAGTTTCAGGGTTGTGCCTTTTCAGAAACAGATTTCCGGGCTTATTGTCCCACGTGCCTTGGGAAGGATTTCAATTGACAGATTTTCAACTATTTTGTTATTATTAAGTGCTGTCAAGTCGGTTCCAACTCATAGCAGCCCTGTATAGGGTTTCCAAGGAGTGGTTGGTGAGTTTGAACTGTAGTTCTTGTGGTTCAAGCAACCATTTGGCCCAGTGCTTTATCCACAGTGCCATGCCAGGACTCCTTTCAGCTATTGTTGTTGTTATGAAGTGCTGTCAAGTCAGTTCCGACCCATAATGACCCTGTATAGGGTTTCCAAAGAGCAGCTGGTGAGCTTGAACTGCCGACCTTGCAATTCAAACAGATTTGCAGTCTGGTGCATTAACACCAGGACTATTAGTCGACCCCTTTATTCATGTGCACCATCCTGAAACTCCACAAAAAAGTATAGAGAATTTTTTTTAAGATCCTATTTAAGAAGTTAAAAACTATTACAATTGAAGCCCTATTGTATTCCTCCCTAGTTTTACCCAGCTTTGGAATCCTGGTGTGGCACTGTGGGTTAATGTGCTAGACTGCAAAGTTGGTTTGAACTATAAGATAGGTGGTTCAGAGCTTATCAGCTGCTCCTTGGAAACCCTATACAGGATAAGAACGGACTCAATGGCACTTGACAACAACAACATATGCCCTTAATAAACTAATATCTTTGACTGTCTTCATTCTTTACCGTTTTTGTTGTTGTTGTTGATAGTTGCAGTCAAATCAGTTGTAGCCAATGGATAACACATGTGTGCACAATAGATATGTTCCACAGGGTTTTCAAGACTATGACTTTTTGGAAGCAGGTTGTTAGGCTTCTCTTCTGAGGTGCCTCTGGGTGGATTCGAACCACCAAGCTTTCAACAAGTAATCAAGTTTTTAACTGTGCTACCATGTATTCCTTATACTTTTACTGTATATGGATATAACCCTAAATTTTTTTTATGTAAAGGATACGTTTGCTGTTGCAAACTTACACAGTTGATATAAAAGGGCATTTGTAGTGCTGTAGGATAAAGCAGTGGACCACAAGGTCATTTTGAACCACAAGGTTGATAGTTCAAACTCACCAGCTGCTTCTCAGAAACCCTATACAGGGTCACCATGAGTTGGAACCGACTCGATGGCACTTAACAACAACAATAACAACAAATACTCTTCCATAATATTTTTCATTCAAAACTGTTTTTGAAATTTGTTTATGTTAATAGCTATAGCTTTAGTTCTGTTTTATTCACTGCTATTGTGTATTCCCCACCACTCCTCCATCACTTAGTATTACTGTGGTAGCTTGTGTGTTGCTGTGATATTGGGAGCTATGTCACTGGTGTCTTAAATACTAGTAGGGTTACCAATCAAACAGATTTCTGGAGAGCTTCCATACTAAGATAGACTAGAAAGAAGGAGATGTTGGAACACTTCTGGATTGTTAGCCACTGAAAAGCTTTTAGACAGCAGCAGAACTTGGTCAGAAATAGTGTATTAATAATTACTGGTCGATGGAATGAGGAAGTTGGAAACAATTTGGATGGATCAGTAGTCAGAAAAGATGGTCCTGGTGATAGACAAGTACTGGAGATCACATGGTAGAATTTTGAAAGGCCAATGCCTTATTCATGGCAGGTACCTTTTTTTGACAACATACATGGGGACCTTGCCAGAAGGGAACACCCAGGAATCACATCAACTATAATTGTGCAAAGAGACAATGGAGAATCTCAATATCAATCAGTCAAAACCAGGCCAGGACCTGACAGTGAAAGAGACCATCAGTTGCTCAGATGCAAATTAAAACTGAAGTTGAAGAAAAGTAAAACAAGCACATGAGAGCCAAAATATGACTTTGAGTATTTCCTACTTGAATTTAGAGACCACCGCAAGAACACATTTAATGCATTTGACACTAAAGACCAAAAACTAGAGGAGTTGTAGGATGACATCAAGAATATCATACATGAAGACCAAAATAGATGTCAGAAGAGACTCTGAAACTTGCTCTTGAACATAGAGAAATTGAAGACTGTAAGAAATGAAGTAAAACGACTGAACAAAAAATTTCAAAGGGAAACTAGAGAAGAAAAAGTAAAATATTATAATGAAATGTGTGAAGACCTTAGAAAACCAAAAAGGAAAGAACATGCTCAGTATTTCTCAAGCTAAAAGAATGAACAAAAAAAATTCAACTGACTGGAAGAAATTCTTATTTGTACCTATTACATAGAAAAGTAACTCAACACAATGCAGATATCATTAGACATTATCACTAATATCACATGCAAGTAAGATTTTGCTGAAGATAATCCAAATATGGTTGTAGCAGTATATCAACAGGGAGATGCCAGAAATTCAAGCTGGATTCAGAAGAGGATGTGGAACAAGGGATATTATTGTTGAATTAGATGGGTCTTGGCTTCATGAAGAGATATCAGAAAGATGTTTACTTGTGCTCTATTGACTATACAGAGGTTTTCGACTGACAGCTTCATTCTTTTCTCCATTGATAAGAATGTTGTTGATTGGGCCAATGGTGAGGATTTTTGTTTTCTTTAAGTAGAGATGTAATCCATAAGAAGGCTGTGTTCTTTGATCTTCATCAGTAAATGTTTTAAGTTCTCTTCACTTTCAGCAAGCAAAGTTGTATCATCTGCATATCGCAGGTTGTTAATGAGTCTTCCTCCAATCCTGATGCCATGTTTTTCTTCATATAACCCAGTTTCTCGGATGATTTGCTCAGCATACAGGTTGAATAAATATGGTCAAAAAATACAACCTTGTCGCACACCTTTCTTAATTTTAAACCAATTAGTGTTCCCATGTTCTGTTTGAACAACTTCCTCTTGTTCCAGGTATTGATTTCTCATGAGCACAATTAAGTGTTCCAGAATATTCATACTTCGAAATGTTGTCCATAGCTTGTCATGATCCACACAATCGAAAGCCTTTGCATAGTCAATAAAGCATAGGTAAACATCTTTCTGATATTCTCTGCTTTCAGCCAAGATCCATCAGACATCAGCAATGATATCCCTTGTTCCACGGCCTCTTCTGTAGCAGATTTGTCCAGTGCAATACTTTGATTTCTTAACTGCTGTTTGCATAAGCATTGATTGTAGATCTAAGTAACATGAAATGCTTGATAGTTTCCATCTTTCCGTTGTCATGATATGATTTATTGGTCCAATTTTGAGGATTTTTGTTTACTTTACATTGATTTGTAGTCCATAACATAGGCTACATTCTTTGATCTTCATGAGAATTCAGTTACTGTTTTCCTGAAATAGAGCTAAACTTGCATTCAGAAGTATTGAGGTCACTTAAAATTCTAATAAAAGAATCAGGCCTTCTTAAAACTAAACAGCATCTCTTACAAAATTGTCATGGATTATTTTGGGATGAAGGGTAGAGATAATTTATATTTTGTTAGGAATCCCGAGACAACCCATTGCCATCAAGTCAGTTCCTCTTCATAGTGACCCTGTAAGGCAGACTAGGACTTAGAACTGCCCCCATAAAGTCTCTCCTGCCGTATCATTCTCTCACTGAGCAGATGGTGGCTTCAAAGTGCCAACCTTTGGGTTACCAGCGGAGTGCTTTAATCACTGTGCTACTAGGGTGCTTATGTTTTAGAGAAAATGGTAAAAATTATAACATTTAAGAATAGATTTGTAAATTTTGTCTAAATGAGAGCATAAAGCCCAGTATATTTTTATGAAAGATAAAGAGAATTTTTAAGACTTTATCTTATAAAACGTAGTTAAATTAATGGAAATCACTTTAGATTCTTGAGATTTTTAAGCATCTTTACTTTTGGAATAGATTATTGCATATTGTATAACTTGTTGGGAAATTAAAATAAAAATCTTTAATATCTTCAAATACATTGAATAATTTCTAGCATGATTTTGTTGTTTGGCATAAACAATATTGTCACTAATTTCTTGATTTTTTTTTTTTTCCTTATGTAGGACTTTAAAAAAATCCATTTATAGTGTTGATATACAAATGAAAAAGATTACAAGAATTGATGTATTTGTTTCTAAAGAATAAATGAAATTAATCATAGTGTTTGTTTATTTTTCAGAGGTGGCTGGATCCAAACAAACCAATAAGGAAGCAGCTAAAGAGTGAGCATGCATATTTATTTGATGTTTTACAAATATGTTTTATAAAGATATAGTATTAATATAATCTGATTAATTAGAACTGCATTTATTAATTCTAGGAGGATCTCCTTACAGTTTGAACTTTAGAGTCAAATTTTTTGTAAGTGACCCCAACAAATTACAAGAAGAATATACAAGGTAGGTTTATAGAGCATATTTTTCTTGAAAATATGTTTTTTAATTCTATTATGAAAAATAGGCAAAAATAGGTTACAATACTATAATTCTGAACTTAGCTGCTTCCAATAATCACACTTCAATTATGAATGGTCCAAGATAATGATCTCATCCTTCTCTTACCATAGTTGGGAAACCTTTAGGGGATTGGAACACCAAGTCAGCCTCCTCCAGCCACAAGTAGTCTCCTGAGCCATAAAATATAAAATTTTTGTACTTGTGAAAAATGGTTAAGAAGTACTTCTGTGACTAATTGAGTAAGCAGATATTACAGTTCTATCCAAGGGATATTTGTTGTAACAGTTATGTCTGGATTTTCTTTTCGTCATGTAAAAGGGTGTGTGTATGTGTGTGTACATATGTTGTTGCTAAAAAGTGTCATCAAGTCGGTTGACTCATAGCAACCCTTTATAGGGTATTTGAGGAGTGACTAGAGCATTTGACCCACCAACCTTGTTGTTCGCAGTCCAGTCTTCATTGAGGAGAACATCTTGTTGTGGTTGTTGTTAGTGCCATCAAAACCGTTCCTACTCATAAGGACCTTGTATCGGGTTTCCAAGGAGTAGCTGTTGACTTTGAACCGCCACCTTGCAGTTCAAATCGACCTAGCGATCTAGTGTTTATCCTACAGTGCAACACCAGGAATACATAAAATTTCTGTAAAGGAGTCATGAACAGTAGATATCTTTTTCCCTATGTAATTTTAATCTAAATAAAACATAATAGAATTGATGCCAGTGAATGCATTAGTATGTTCAAGCCTTAACCTGCCTGTTTTACTTATTTTATTCTTGTCTAAGTTTATTTGCTATCTAATTATTTTGTCACTTGACAAAATACACAAGAATGATCCTCATGGACATCTTGAGAATATTTGAATGTTCTCTGAAATGTTTAAGGTAGAAATACAGGAGGGAAACATGACAGTGTGCTAATTATCTTTGTTAAAAATAACCTTAAAGTTTACTTTGTATGATGCTTAAAAGACAGAATTGTCTGTTAGGGTTTCAGTCAACAATCAAGAGGGGCTTAAGATGTTCGTGGAAAAATTCCAGTATCTTTTTTTTTT